GTATTAATCTTTATTTAATTCTGTATCAACACGTTAGTAAGATATTTTTGAAATCATCTTCTATCTTTGATTTCAGGGAGACTCGTCTGACTGAGGCTGTCGACAACATATGTGAGCGCATCCTGCAGTACAACGTTCACGCAGAGAGGCCCGGCAGCCTCCGCTACGCCAAGGTGAAGTGTGAAGAAGACTTTTCTTTTGAATGGATTCAACATTGTGCCAGAAATTTAAACTTGAATCTTTCCCACTTGTTTTTATCATCAGTTGTAAATTTGTGTCACAAACTGACAGCCAGATGTCTTGTGTGACTGCAGGGTGCCAGTCAGACCATGACAACTCTGAAGAACCTGGTCCATAAAGGAGTTAAAGTGGAGCTGGGTCTGCCGTTCGAACTGTGGGACGAGCCTTCAGTGGAGGTGTCGGACATGAAAAAACAGGTAGAGTTCCATTTGTCCTGTTGTCAGGTGGAGAAATAGAAATACAGGTTGTACTGATTTGGGTGAATGTGTGTGTTACGTGTTGTGCAGTGTGAGACGATGCTGGAGCAGTATGAGGACGTGGTGGAGGACTGGTACTTCCACCATCAGGACCACAGACTGGAGAACTTCCTCTGTGAGACACACGTCCTCAAGACATCAGAGCAAGGTAGGAGACACAGAGAGACTGGTTCCAGCTTCGCGATCCTGTGGATACGGAGATTGTTTTGTGGTCACTTCAGTTTGGAAACTCAGGAAAGTCTCATTCAGCAACTTAAGCTGCAAAGACGTAATTTCAAGTCTAAGGAATCAATCGGTCTCTGATTGGTCATTGGGAATTAGAGGGAATCGGAAACAGAGGTCCCTAATGACAGCGTTTATTAAAAGATATTCTGGAGTAAAAAGTGACTTGAAACCTCCTCACCACACTGTTTTCTCTCTCCCTCTCTCAGAATGTCTAAACGAGATGTGGAAAGCAGACGTGGGGAAAAAACAAGGGGCAGAGGAGGCGGAGAGCAACAGCGCCGAAGAGGAGGAAGCGAATGACAGAAAGGAAGAGGAGGGAAAGACACACGAGGAGCTGTGAGGAAAGAATTTTTCGAAAAGGGCAAATGCAGAAGACAACGCAAAACCTCAGCTTCAGATTTTGGCAGGAAATCTGCAAATCAACGGACGGAAACTGAAATTATGCGGAGAGACATGTTTTCAGATTTATTCCACAATCTTGTCATAGTTTACATTGAGAGTTACAACAGTGTGATATGATGCTTTATACAATTTATCACTAAAATCCTGTTATTTTAATGAACTGTTGCACCTTTTTTAAATCACTCAAATATTTGGATGATGGTTTGAAGCCCTGATCCTAAAACATATGTTACATCCCTCTTCATGCAAACTTTATATGGTACATAGGAACTTTTTTTAAAGATCTTTAAATGCAATATGTACAGTTTTTCATGTTGAATAAAATGCTTTTTATATTAATGTTGCATGTGTAGTTTTTAAACAATGACAGGCTTTAAAATAGCACCTTCCTAAGTTCTTAGTTGCTGGATGCTGCCACCTAGTGGTTGTTTGTCGAGCTTCTCAACAACCTCGGATTGAATTCCATCTGGAAGGAGCTGCCAGTCTGGTGCAGTGTGAATAAAACAAAGTGCATTTAAGCTGCAGCTCCAGATGTGTAGCTGATGATGTGTATATGTAGAAGAGCAAGAAAAATATATTAAAACAGCATCTTTAAAAACGAACCAAGTGTCAAGTATGAACAAGTATAAAAACTAAAAAGTAAAACTTGTAAAAGTGACCTCAGTGTAGAGGCATCATCATCATCATCATCAGACTGTGACCTGAGATATCCCCTCATCTACCAGGCCATGAGTCCTGTGTGTTTTATGTCTACAGCAGTTCCTCCAATTAATTTTCCAAACTAAAACGACTTCCTCTGATCACATATTGGTGGCAGCGTAATTCTATCCAGTTCCTGTGTCCTGTTATTATAAAAATCCAAATTACTGATGAGGGCAGAAGTTGAATCTGATAAAACTTGATTGTGCTCTTCACAGATGTTTTACAGACTCTGAGCTGAAAGGCTCCGACTCTCGTTTCCTGCTCTGCCTCCACCGGCTCGAAGCTTTCCTCCTGCACCAGGAGCTCAGACACACTGTCAGAGCAGATCTATTACTATTACAACTTTTTATTTTATTCTCGGCCAAAAGAATTACCCGATCCACTCTGAGGGCCCAGTGAACGAGGCCTGTTCCTTCATGAGTGGGAGTTTTTAACATTTGTCTCACAGCTCCTATTTATTCCTCTTGTCTCTGGACTCTAATGAAAATAACTCCTCCAGCTCATTTGAAAATCA